CCTCTTTATTATTGCCCGTTCTCAGCTTTGGTTTCGACATTCAGGAGCTTCGCAAGCATCTAGAAGGAAATTCTAAGTAAGAATTATAATACAAGAAATTAAATCCTTATTCGCTAAATAGTTAAAGTCAGTATTTAATTTATTAAACTATATAAATTCGGTACTCTTGTTTATTGGTTTATTTGTTTATCTCTTTCATATAAGTGTCGTTGGTAATTTAATGTTCCATAATAATGATAATATTAGCAACATTAGTCAGTGGTATTAATTATATTAAAAATTTTTGTTATTCCTATTTAATATTTTAACTAGTCCAGTTTTTTAAAATTCTCTTTTTCAAAAATTCCAACATTACTATCTCTACATATCGGACTGTCCTAATAATCACACATTACAGTATAATTGACTTATACCACCAATGTACTTTAATTGTTATTTTCCTTTTCTAATTTAATTAACCATAATTAACAATATCTACGTATTAATTTGATTGATAATTTGAAATTTAAGCATTTTTATTTTCTGTGAAAGTCTTTATTATCATTTAACTACTTAGAAGTCCGATTCTATATATGATATTCATATATCTCAATTATCTGTATTTAAATATGAGTATAAAGAATATTTTCATATATCTCAATGTATTCTGGGCTATTATATAGAACTCCTCATTAAAACTCCTTTAATATTTTGGTACTAATTCAATTAATCTTATATTCAATTTGGGATTAATTTTTTTATTTTCTGTGAAAGTCTTTATTATCATTTAACTACTTAGAAGTCCGATTCTATATATGATATTCATATATCTCAATTATCTGTATTTAAATTCATAAAACTCCAATTTTTACTAATTCAATTAATCTTATATTCAATTAATTAATTAATTCGCGTTTTGAACTTTATACTGAAAATGAGTAATTAGGCCTTACAATGTACCAATCACAGCTCGAATTTTGTTTCCGTGATCCGCGCCAAGAGGGGGATCATTCTGCCTCTTGAAGTCCTCGTCGGACCGCCGCCGTCGCCGCCGTGCACGGTGGCCGGAAAATTCCAACAACCCAGAATTTAGCCACGATCATACCTTTCGACTCAAAATTCACTAAGGAGTCCATTTCCGGCATTGGTTTAGTGAGATCAACCCTCTAGTTGGTCGAATCAAGCTTGACAGCTGCCCCTCACCACCGTTCATGGTGGTTCTAGTTCCTTCCACCAAAACCCTCCTTTCTTGGACGGAAAATGTTCACACAAGACGGAGGAATCGATCGGAGCTCACCTTGAAGCTTCACGTCGTCGGAATCGCCTGGTATCGCCGGAGATCGAAGGATGAGGACTGTCGATGGAGACAGTCTCGTTTCGCGTCACTGGAGGTCCGATCGGAGCGAGGGAAGGCTGGAATCGTGCCCAGTATCGCCAAAGGAACCGATCGCCACTTCATCCTTGCTGAATGGTGGCCGGAAGCGAGAAGGAGAGGAAAGAGGGAGGAGTCGCGCGACTGGAGAAGAAGAAGGAAGAAAAGAAGAGAAAAAGAAAGAAAAGAAAGAGGTCTCTAGACCATTCCGGTTCGATTCGAATCGATTTGATCTAATTTAATGATTCTTGCTCGATTTGCAGGTTTTTCACTTGATTTTCAGATTATTCGTGTGGTTTTCAAAAAATCAATTTGATTCCCGGGTTCGATTCGATTTATTTTAATTATTTAGTTAGGTTAGAAAACATTTCCTCCATTCACTCAATAATAATAAAAATAGTAATAGTAATGACATTTGATTTTAGAATAATTAATTTATATATATTTATAATAGATTAATCACTGGTGTTTCATATTATTTCTTGAAAATTTTAACTGTTCTCAAGTTGCATTTATTTCTTGATAAATTTTAACTGCTTTCTTTCAATATTCTAATTTTAAATTCCTGAATTAATCTCTTTTGTGGTGCTGGGCTCAATTCGAATGAATTCGGGCTCAGAATTGAGACTATATTTTACATTTGCAGCCCAACACTATAATCTCTTTTGGGCTTGGGCTCAATTCGAAAATTTGGGCTCGAATTGAGACTATATTACATTTGCAGCCCACACGGCCGAAATTTGCGATTTTTGATTTAATAAAAATTTAAAAGTTTCGAAAATAAAAATTCGGGGTATTACAATTTTATAGCGAGTTAATTATTTTTTACATTAATTCTAAAATAAATCAAATTAATGAATTTTATCATTTTTCATTTTACTTCTTTTTTATTTCTCTCTATAAATTTTAACATTTTTAATCTATACTCTTGAACATATGTCTATCTACTAATTTTTACTCTAATAATTAAAAATCACAGTTATATTTTTTTAGTACTTGCACGAGGTATCCAGGCTCACGCCTGTTTTAACAGTCTATAAATCTGACTAATCCTCGCTTACCCTCGGAGGGGCTGGCCGAGGAAATTTGCGTTGTGGAGGAAGTTTGCGTTGCGAAAGAAGTTTGCGAATAATCAAACCTATGACATAAGTCATGGTCATCAACAACTATATTTTTGTTCATTATTGATATATCTTAACACAAGCTAAGCTAATGTGGAATCTATTGTGGGCGTGGTCCGGTTGCGGCAGCAATTCCAACGGCCGCAGACTCTTCAACTGACTAAGACGCTGAAGCAATCTTAATATTTTTTTAATAGTATAATAAAAAAATTTTCATTAATAATCTATAAACTATATAATATTATATTTTTTTTTTTTTTTTTCAATTGTTTACTTTATTTTTTTGCCACGGAAATATTGCTAGTAATTATAAAAAATAATGGACAAATTAGAGAAATATGATATTATATATTATATATATATAATATATATATCATTCTAAACATGTTCTAACATGTAAAATAAAAAAATTAAAAAAAAGGAAGGATGATAAAATTTATCCTCCTAAAAGGTTTTTGGTGCTTCAGAATTATTTTAGGTTGATTACTTTACAAATCATATTCATACTTTTGCAGTTAATAAATATCTTGAGTAATTTTTTAAATACATTTTTCTATTTTAACATTTAAGGGAAAAAGAGGAACTTAAGTATATACAGATCTCAAGTTGAAATGTCCCTTTTACATGAATCTCCGGTTCGGAACCGGTGGGAATCAAAAGTCTGCAGTCTGATTTTGGTTTCAAATTTGAGGCAGCGGTTTTAACTTTTGAGAAACTGTAAACCAGCGGTTCCAAAAACCAGTTGAAACAGACAGTTTTTTTTAACTGGTTAGAATCGATGGTTTCGATGGTTCAAATCGGCGGTTCCACCTGGTTTCAATAACTTTTTTTTATTTTTTCAAATCTTTTTGTGAAATCTCTAAATTAACCCTCCTAACAACTATATAACGGTTAGTTTTAAGAGTATTCGTGGAAAATTAATTTTTTGGATTTACTATAAATACCCCTTTTATTTAATTTTATTTAAAAATAAATAAATTTAAGTTCAGCTTAAGTTCAAGCCCTTTTTCTAAAAAAAAATAAGTTCAAACCTTTTTTTTAACAAAAAAATTTAGTTAAGCCTTTTTATTAATTTTTTCTTAAAGTTATTTCATAAATATTTAAATTTTAAATTTTCAACGAGAAAATATTCTCTAATTTTTTATTTTATAATTATGCGATTCGCTGGAAAATCAATCGGAGAACCGACCGGAATCGTAATTTTGGAACATTAAGTAACTGAAATCGGAACCGTAACCGTTCGATTCCAAATCGTAACCGAAACCATCAGTTTTCGGTTCGATTCCAAACTGTATCCGGAACCGTCAGTTTCCAATTCGGTTCCAGATCTAGATCTTTTGGAACCGGAACCGGCGGTTTTGAAAGCGTATCCACCCTGCTTTTATCAAACTCAAAATAAGTAAATAAAAAGAAAGCATTGAATGTATCAAGATTATACTCAAAGATATTATTTGAAAATAAAATTTAAATTACTTTAAACATAAAATATAAAGAAAATTTTAAGTTCCTTATAAACCAAATAAAAAAAATTCAACTTTAAAATAACATTCTATTTCCAATTTATGAGTGAACCAATCTATTAAGAATGTTAATGATCTGCCATAAACCATCGAGACCAATCCAAAATAATAATTTTTAAAAGATTAGCAGTTTAATTTAGTTTGAAAAATATATAATAAAAAAAAGGAAAAATGCTAAATTTAACCACCCCCCCCCCCCCCCCCCCCCTTAACTTGGGTCTTAATATCAATTTGTTAAAAAATCACTTTTTTTTGCCCAAAAAAATAATCTCAGTACCCCCCCCCCCCCCCCCCTAACTTGGGTCTAATATCAATTTGTTAAAAAATCACATTTTTTTGCCAAAAATAATCTCAGTAATTTGCACAAAAGGATCAAATCACTTATATTTTACCTTACATCTTGGTAGCGCATATCACGCGGTCAAACTAAATTTTTAAATTAAAAAAATTGTTAAAATGCCTAAAATTCTTTAAACTACACATCACACCGTGACTTTTTCACTTTGTCTCTCTCGATTCTCATTTTCCTTTAACAGCACAACGATCTCTGCTATAAACTATGAAAAAGGAGCATCTTTTTTCTTTTATTTTGCTTGAGCAAGACTTGTTCAGGAAAGATAATTGACCGAGTTCTTGACTCTAAATCTCTAAAGAAAAAGAAACTCAGTTTTAATTTGATAATATTTTGTTTATGATGCGTCTTCAATGGTCGCTGAGGCAATTAATTGGGTTTGAGGGTGAAATCACATTATGGATTCACTGCTTTGACTGCCTCTGCTGCTGTGAACTTATTTGATAGGTTTATTTCAAGTTTAAACTTTGTTTCCAAGAGATAGGTACAATATGAGTGATTTGATCCCTTTTGTGCAAGTTACTGAGATTTTTTGGCAAAAAAGGTGATTTTTGACCAAATTGAATATTAGACCCAAGTTATGGAGCACTGAAAAGCTAAATGAAATTCTTCTGGAAAAAAAAAATAAAAAAAGCTAAATGGAACACTCGACAAGATTACAAGAATGCTATTGCTTATCATTGCAGCTGAAATAAAGGTCCAAGATCCTTTCAGATGTATCTTTTCCCATTTCTTCCATCATTGTTCATTTTCGTTTTCGCTTTTTTTTTCCCCATTTAAAAGATTTTCCAAGTTCAAATCAGTGACTAAGTTACAAAAACTTTCGTATCAAAGAACTGTGCATTGCCTTTCCAATGATGGAAAGAATGCCTCCACTAAATGATGTATTGAAAATGTAGTACCTGCACAAGTTTGACTGCTCCATCCCTTCAAGAGGGTATCTGCCAATACAAACCAAAAATGGCAAATACAATCTTCAACAAAATCTGAGATTCTCAAAAAGTCAGTTCAGAGGAAGATGAGAACTTACTTTTGAAGCATTTTAAAGCACCAATAATTGAGATTTGTGATCAATTCCATTGAATATGAAAGTCCCAGAAATAGGAACAAATTGTCTTGTTATAAGCTGTAAAACATAGAATGAATGCGATCTTAGGAATGTGAGAGAGTCACATGAAGATTAATATTATAGCAACTAGACGATACGGACTTAAAAAAGAAAAAAAAAAAAGGGAAATGGTTATATTTTAGATATAAAATATACAATCATTCTATTTTAAATTGTAAAATGAACTTAGAGATAAATTCATCTCACAAAAATATGATTCCAATATAATTTTAATAATATCAATCATATTTTCTTAGTTGAAATTAGCACATTGTAAATATTATTCATGAAAAAAATTGTTACTGAAGCTCAATTTCTTCATATTTTAATCACATTAGTCCTTGTAAATTTAAAATTTTTAAAAAATAAAACATGTATTTTCCTAATTGTGTTCAAGTGTCCAGCACTTGTAGGACACATGTTCTTGTTCCAAGAGTGTTTGACATGGGCCCTTCATGTGCCCTAGGTCATCATACTTAGGGCTCAAACAACAAAATATGCTAGGGATAAAACTGACCTTGATCACTTCTTGCGATGCAACTCCCCCGATGAAGGCAGCAACTGTATGGAGCTCTGAAGCACCGAATCGGCACATTTCATTGATTAGGTCCTCAGTCAAGGGAGAGCCGTTGCAACCCAAGTCACTGAGTAGACTAACAGCTGTAGTTTTTAATCGAGATATATCCTCATCCATTTCCCTGCAGGACAGCAACCATTGAGTTAAACTTACACATGCAGTGCTCTACTCATTATCTATTGAAATGAAATTACTGCTCCAAAAAGAGAAAAACAGGAAAAAAAGAAAGCCACTGGCTAGGCTATCAGGCATTACCCATCAAACTGCCCAGGAAAACTGTTATAATTAGCGGCAAAACGATCAACAGCTCGAAGAAGGATATAGAAGCCCATGGCAACACTGCAACAAAGGGAAGTAAAATACATCTCTGTAAGCAAAACAAATTGCTCTTCTATTTCCAAAAGGAGGGAAAGGAATTCGAAAGAAAGGAAATACGTAATTGGAGAATCATAAATATAATAATTGATGGGGGCCAAAAATAAAATAAAATGGAATTTGCTAAATATTTAACTAACAAACGGATTGCACTGTGATAATCTGATAAATCGACCTCAAATTCCCCTATCAACAGAGAGAATAGGGGTTCAAAACAGACTATTATGTTGATCCTTATTGATGATTTCTGGGTTCCCAAAGTCAGTTTTATCAGAGTGGAGGGATAGACAATGCAACTGCAACTTCATTTGCACGGAAATATGCACTTTGGTTTCACATCAGAACAATTCATCTAATTTTTGAAAAGGTTTCATATATAATATGGCTATAAACTGATCGTAAAATATAATTTGTTGAAGATTCAGTTGAGGAGAGTAACCAGAAAAATTGAAGTAAATTAAATTAAAAGTATAGACAATCATTTCAAACCCTCTAAACAAATCTAGGAACTCAAAACCAAATCAAAATAATTAAAACCCAGTACATCAAGCCTAATATCAGAACCTATCAATTTTCCGATTCACAAACCAACCCTTAAGATTATCAGAGTTTGTACACAAATCTTTAAGTTTCAAAATTCATTTTGCACATCAAGTGGTATTTGCAACGTAAAATCATAATAAACTCAAGGTCACCTGTAATCCTCATCAGTTAAATACTTCTGCAACCGCGGTAGGGAAGGATTGTTGAACTCATCCTCAATGATGCGGTATCTGCAAACCTACAGAATTTGAAAACTCTCACTACCCCCAGTCAAAGAATAATAATACGTATCTCAGAAGTAAAATAACTGAATTTTATAGTAGTTATGTAACATAATACACATTTTTAAAAGGAGAATTTAAAACCATTTTTAGTTATAGAATTTTGTGTTTTCATTTTCCAATTTTCTTTTCTCCATTTCCAAATTTTCTACCTTTCTATTTTCCAAATTGAAGACAGAAAACGTGTATATTTGTTCAGTTCCCCAATTCTTTGTTTCCATTTCCACTTTGTAAGATTTTAATTAGAATTTTAATATTCAATAACCATTATTTTGTTGAAAATAAAAAAAAATCTAAAAGTGAATACTTAAATAATTTTATTGTTTGGCATTAATGCATTTCACAAAAATTGGTGGCATTTAATTGAATTCCATGTTTTATATGTTTCGATCGGAAAAAATAAATTAGAATTCATTTCCATGGAATTCGTTATAACTAAACTCAAACTCTATTAAATTCAATTGAATTTGAAGTGAACTCCATAAAATTACACATGTTTTTGGATTAAAATGCCCATATCGAACCCATGCACAAAAGTAGTTGGTCCACCTTCTCTATTTAAGTTCATTATGCACTTATCAATGACACTAAGTATGTTGTAATATAAACAACCTATATGATGAGGCATGTGAATTAATTTTTATTAATATATTATTAATTAGTTTATATATTTGTTAATTATTATAAAACTATTAAGTATAAGATTTTGTTTTTTCTTTTGATAGAGTTTAAAATTATTATTTTTTAATGTTAATATTAAGGGTAGTTTAGGAAGTAAGGAGAAATTAATTCCAATTTTGAATTATACCAAACATCAACTATATGGAAATCAATTGAATTCTGAATTTTAAGTTGTATCATATCAATCACAAGAATTTATTTCTAAATGAATTTTAACTAGAAATTATTCTAAATGAGTTAAATAGCAAATATTCATATATTAATAAATGAGTTATTGAAAAAGAAATTCTATATAATAAAAAAGAAGGTATCATTAGTCATATAAACATATATTTTTCAATCTAGAAATACATTTCAATTTCAAATGCAAACTACTTTAGAGATAATATTATTAAATGCTTTGGTGTAAGAATATAAAATTAAGAGAAATTTATACATTAATAATGAGTTACTGGAAAAGAAATGTTATAAAATGAGGGATAGCATTAGTTACGTCTGATACTACCATTCTATTTCCAAAAAAAAGCTGGTTTAATAGTTAAATTTAAAAAACCATTGAAGTATATTATTACCATTACTAAAAAAGGAAGCAAAACAAATTGAACAAAGACAATTTTTTCTTTCAAAAAAGAGCCACTAAGATCCAAACACAGCAGCAAAATCATTAACATCCTTGTAGCTAACAGGACCAATATTCATAATATATAGACCTAGAAGTTCGAAAAAAAAAAAAAAAAGAATTCTGTTTCTCGGATTTGAACCCACAAAATGTATGTAGCTTGCACAAATTTAGTCTAAACTCTAAAGGAAACAGAGAGAAAAAAAAGTTTTCCAAGGCTCACTCTAAATTAAGAAAAATTGGAGGTCAGTAATTTTCCATTTGGAAAATTTTTACAACTTTAAGAAAATGTCCTCACATAATTTGTGATGGCTGTAACATAAAAGCCTGTCTTTGTTTACTTAATGTTAATGACCATTTCTTTTTCCCTGTGATAGGCATTTAAGAAAATGTCCTCACATAATTTGTGATGGCTGTAACATAAAAGCCTGTCTTTGTTTACTTAATGTTAATGACCATTTCTTTTTCCCTGTGATAGGCATTTAAGAAAATGTCCTCACATAATTTGTGATGGCTGTAACATAAAAGCCTGTCTTTGTTTACTTAATGTTAATGACCATTTCTTTTTCCCTGTGATAGGCATTTAAGAAAATGTCCTCACATAATTTGTGATGGCTGTAACATAAAAGCCTGTCTTTGTTTACTTAATGTTAATGACCATTTCTTTTTCCCTGTGATAGGCATTTAAGAAAATGTCCTCACATAATTTGTGATGGCTGTAACATAAAAGCCTGTCTTTGTTTACTTAATGTTAATGACCATTTCTTTTTCCCTGTGATAGGCATTTAAGAAAATGTCCTCACATAATTTGTGATGGCTGTAACATAAAAGCCTGTCTTTGTTTACTTAATGTTAATGACCATTTCTTTTTCCCTGTGACAACTCATATCACTCAGACATGCATTTTTATTCATACTGTCTCAAGAGTCAAGACACTATCTGTAGTAATATTAGATATTTAATCTTCCTTTGTTTTACAGTAGTTATTGATGTTGATTGCTAGATAATCTATAAATCGTGAATTAAATTCTTCATATGATGCATTTCTTAAAATGCACCTGCGTTTCTTAAAATGCACCAGCATTTCTTAAAGTCTAATCTTCTTGAATATCTTTCACTTAATTCATTTCACATTTTCTACAAAACAGAAAATAAAATCAAACGAGCAGCAACAGGCAACAATTATTACATTACAGCTATGATGATCCATTTCCATTACATGCAATCATATAAGCCTGATAGTGGTTAACGCTGCAATTTAATTACATGCTAAAACAATTGAGCCTTCAACAATCGCAGCTATACTACTGCCATTGCAGAGTAAACTGGACGATTTTTGAGAGGCATCTTTTTATAGTTTGATCATTGGAATTACCAAAGAATCATAACACTAGTTATGTAATATATACAGTTTGGAGTTATTCTAGGATGCAATTATTTAACCAGAGACTTTGAATCTACATGGCACTTGCATATAAATGGATGGTCAACAACTAATAACTGATTAAATAAAAAATAAAAAGTTTAAGTTAGCTAGATAACGACAAAATTTATAGCAAACAAAGCGTATATCAAAAGATCACCTTTATTTTTCTAGCATTTTTGCAGAAGCTCTTTATCACCGTTTTCGAGATGCTATCAGGATCTCTACCAATTTTCTTCAGTATATTCCTCGTCCGTCGCTCAATGATAAGAAAATCAGCCTCAGCTTTTGCTTGGTAGGTCTTCTGCAAATTTACATAAAGCCTGCAACACATTTTATATGATTCTTATATAAACAAATTGTTATTCTTTTTCTCTTACAGAACCTGAAATCTGGAATTGAAATATAAATATGGACAATTTCTAGACACGTTACTCACTCAGTTGAAGATGTCATATCAGGTATTGAACCCTCAAGAGGAGCCTCTCCACCACCTTCATTCACAATGAACTCCTAGAAATGTGAGCAACTTCAAAAGTGAAATCTCATAAAATTTCTTGATGGAATCACATAATCAGATCCATTAAATTTATGCATATCACAGAATAAATTAGAAAGAGCAATGCACAGAACTAATCCTAAAATCAGCTCAATGAACTCTAAAGCAAGCAAATGAGTTTCCATCTGAAGAATTATATGAATTTTACAGTGAACACTATCAATTAACCATGATAAACTAAAGCAAACAGACTACAACAATCAAAGGTCCAAGTCATAATGTAATTTGTCACCTTTAAGGCAGCTAACATCACCCAAAAGTCAGAGGAATTAGAATCAACTTCAGTGCAGCCATCAGTAATTATCTGCTGCAGATCAGAACCTAAGATGAACAAGAGAGAGGGAGAGAGAGACACATATATGTAAACAAATTAGCAAAGATTCACATGGAATCAAATATTTTCCATGTCCATTATTAACGCCACATAGATCTCAACATCAAACTTTAAAAGATAAGATACTCTAAAATTACAGAAAACTAAAAATAAATTGAAATTTGTTATAGAGGAAAAAAGAATCTCCATGCACTTAAATTTTTCTGATTGTTGTTTCTCCATGCAAAACGAGTTTACATGGAAGTCACCAAATGTACTTCTGAAGGAGTCTCTAGCACATAGCACTACAGATGTCTTCATTTTTCATCAAATTAGTAATTGTGACGTTTAGTCATCAATTGATTCCCAGTTCAGAGGTCTGCATTTATTAGTCCAAGTAATGAAGGTCTTGGGAGTTTCTATATCAGGTTTTCCTGTATGGAGTTCAGAGAGAATATCAGAAGAACCTGCAGTAAATTTCCAAGGATTAGATCATTTCAAAGTCCTTCCAGGCAGGGTGGACTTCTCCAACACATTTTTTATTAATTTATCTTAACTCTATATTCTCATTTCCTAGGCTGCATCATTTAGTATCAGATCTGGTTGCTGACTTTGGTAGCAGTCATATCTTATCCTAATGATCCTAGTGTTATGACTGTAACCATTGGAGAAAGGCATGATTTACTTCTAAATTGCTCAGGAACCTCTCCAATTGAATTGCTCTTTTGGAAATTAAAAAAGAAGAAATACTGCTTCCAAAAAGACCTCAAACTGCCCCAGTTAAGTCTCAACAAAATGAAAGTTGAAAGAGAAAATATTTTTCTTACTTAAGGATATAAAGGATAAATTCTTGAACAGTTAGCAAAGCTTCTGACAGATTGCAGAAAACAATAGAAGATTGCAAGAAAAAGAAATTTGAAAAGGAAGAAATTAGAGTATTCAAGACGATGTTGAAGAGGCAAATGCTTTCATTTTTGAGAATAACCAGCAGTTGTTCAGTGCTCAAGAAATTTGATAATAAACAACCTGGTGACTACCTAAGCTCTACTCAACTCAACCAAGCTTTCCAAATTAGTCGGGATCAGGTATATGGATTATTTTCCCAATGTGTCAGACAATGAATGAGGTAAAGAAGCCTGTGAAAGTTCCAACACAAAGCAACACCACCATTGGTATTTGTTAATCTAACAAAATTAGATGGCCTTTATGAACCTTGAGATTGTGCAATCACAAGAATTTAAAACTTAAGGGCTACTTTTCCCTCAGCTGGAAGAGAATAACGCAGATTCATGTATGAAGAAAGGTCAAAATCAAGAACTTCTAGATATAGATGAGGACAGCCAAAACTTAGAAGATTGCACTATCAAAGTTGCATTTGCTAGGCTTGGGGTTTATTTTGTGATTTTGTATTGTACATTAAGCCACTAAATGCAGTCTGTAACAAGTATACATAAGTCAAAGAAGTTCTTTAGTTTTTCATTGTTAAACATGACCTGTAGGGGCAATTATCAGTTCTGAGCCTGCATTCATTAGTCTTTAAGTCTTGAAAGTTCCAAGTTCAACTTCTAAAAGTCTATACACAAGGTTTTATTGTACACTTATGAAAGCATGGAAAAATAAGAATAAATAAATTCCAGAATCATTAGAATTTTCTAGGATTAGAACTAATCGTGGTGTGTCCAAGGAAAATCTACTCCTCCCTCAATTATTCCCATCCTAGAATTCCATCCATTTTTTTTATGTTCTATTTTTCAGGACCGCATCAAAATCTTGCCAAGAAAATTTAAATCCATGCTTTTGACTATTTTTACTCACTAATTCCTCGAGGAGCAAAGACTTTGAAGGAGGCCTCGATAGCTTCTTTATAATTGTCTTCATCAATTGCAATCATCTGGGCTTTGAGAAGGTCCTAAACAATTCAAAAGCGTGAGTAAATTAAATTACTGGACATCAAAACCAACTGAAACAAACAGGCAAGCTAAGAACAAGATTAAACCTTGAATTGTTTTTTCTCATCCCGAGTTGATGGAAGGCTACCGCCATGAGCTTTGGCCCACTCCTCAGCCATCTTGACAAGAATAATTACGTAAGGTGTGTGCTTATGAGCAACAGGATCTACCACATTCAAGTCAATACTTTCTGCAAAACTGTTGCATATAATTACAGAATAAGAAACTTAAAAAGGTGTTACAACACCAATGCAGGTTAAGAGAAGTGATAATATATTTTTAACATCACATACTCCAGTAACACCATTGTGTCTGTGCACGTGAACTAAATTTCTGTACCTTTTGAGCTCAGGCCATGGGTTATTCAATCGAAGATCATCCAGAAAATGATCAGGCTTTGATTCAATCACTGTATGTTCCTGCAACAACGAAGTAAAGTCAATTTATAACTACTTGGATAAGATCTGATTCCCCAACAAGATGATTCCCATTTTTAAATTCTGCAATTGTTTGATTAGCCGATATGACATGTCCCCTGAAGAATTCATGCACACTAGACTAAGTATCTATTTTTTGACCAAGAATATGGCTGAGATGATTATTTTTGAAAGAAATTACAAGCAAATGTAGATATAAAGGGTTTAGTAGGTTATCCATCCGCTGTCCCCTTACTTAAATGATAGTATATTGATTGTAATCTTAGTTTGTGGAATATCATGGCAGTTCTCAAGTTCTGACAGATTACCTTCACACTGATTCTAACAAATCCAGTAAGGCCATAGGAGCGTGCAAAAATCAACATCACATTTGCCTCCCGACAGATTTTATCAAGCTTTACCATTGAATCTTCCACCAGCTGCAAATGATATTAGGAAAACTCCATGAAATATACCACAGATAAAGAATAAAGATATTACAGCTAGCAAATCAAGATATCCAACCATGAAATCAATGGGATTTATTTTCAAAAGCAGACATTGAGGAACCATGCAAGAACTTCAGAAAAATGGACCACAAATTCCATAATTGCACCATTGATATTGGCTTATCAAATTCATAACACAAAAATGTCAAAGCTTTGGGCAAAATGCATGAATAACTATGGCGAAGCACATTGCAATGCCAAAGATACCACTGTTAAGATTAAAAAGGTGGCAGAATGAATTTGATAAAACAAGAAATTCCTTCATATAAGTACTAATCTCTTTAATTTGGAAGCTTAAATTTCTCACAGAGATAAAATACCCCATGATGAGGATAATATTATGTACCTGGGTGGCTACTACCAACGTAAACTGAGAAAAAAAAGATGGATTTGTCTCAATTAATGCCTCAGGATGCTCTTCTATAAACTTGGCCTTGACAGCATCATTTAGCTCTTGAAGAAATGCACAAACACATTTTGCTTTAGATTGCCCAACACTTGATTCATCCACTATCAAATCAAAAGGAAAAATAAGCACAAAAACATAAAGATAAGCATATAGGATGTGATATCAGAAAAACATACCCATGAAATTGTTTCCGAGATCACCGATTTCAACTTTAGATCCATCGATCACTGTGATCGATCCAACCCCACCAAGAACAAGATTTTTTAATGTCTCAGAACCTGTAGGACCACAATTAAGCAGGCATATGCTTGCTTTCTCTAGGGCCGCCTGTCCTTGCTCACCCCATATCCTAAAATATCAAACAAACACTGATCTGCTAATTGGAATTTTTGAATGCAAAAAAACATCCACAAAGCAAACACCAGGCAATTCATTTTTCATATTTATCGTTTTCCATTTACAAACTTCTTGATTGCTATATCTCTGTTATTTGGCACATCAAAACTTCAAATACAAGATAGGAAAAAAAAAATAGAACAACACTTCAACCATATTAGATCAAGCATTCCACCAATTAATTTCTTCTCCTTTAAAAAAAAAAAAGGCCAGAAATTTAAAAGAACAAGTTTTTCTACACCACAAATTACTGACCATCAGCAAACACATATAAGTGCAACCAATGCAAGAACTTGTAAATTCTCAATTAGACAGTTCATTCCAACCCAAGCCTTATCAAAAGCAATTATGCTTTATAGCTTCCCTGCTCAATTTGACCTCTCCTCGCCACATTCCCTAACATAACACTATCATAAACCATAATCCATTATAATTCTACCCAGAAGACTACTGTCTACAAAATTCTCAAATTGCAAATGTAATAAACAATAAGAAAAGAAAAAGAAAAATGAACTTTTCTTTGGATAAGATATTAAGATACAAATAATGCAGCAAGCTATTTCTAGAAAAGAACTATCTTTAAAAACTCAATACTAGTTTATTCCTTTAACTTAAAATTTTCATTGAACAAAAAGGCATTAACAGAAAGCTAACGAGTTTTCAAATTACAGTGCTGTGATTAGGGCACGTAGAGCGAAGGAGAAGGAGAAGGAGATGGAGAAAGAAACAAAAACGACGGCGAGTGAGAAGCTAGAGAATGATCAGTTACCTGAGCTGGCGATCGTATTTGGTTTTTGGCTCCGCCATTAGTGTGTTCTTTTGATACTGTTAAATCTGAGGTTTTGTTTTGCTGCTCAGTGCTAAGCTCCGCTTAGTAGCTACGCAGTGGTGTGAGTTACTGAGTTCGGTTTATCGAGTTTGAGAATCGGCACGCCAACTCACCTCTTTCTTTTATATCTCTAAAGACTATGTAAATTGGATTAGGATTAGGACTAGTGGTTATTTAAAATGGTACAAAAACATATTTTTCTTACAATTAAGTCCTTTAATTTTAATATTCTTTTCGATTAGACCTCATAAAATCATTAATTTGAGATATCAACCCATATCTACGTGGAATTAAATGACATTTGGAGTATTGTTTGGGAGTTGGATTATAAGTTTTTGTTTATCCACTAATAAGGTACTTTTGTTTTCAGCATAAAGCTTTCAAGGTTCAATGAGACAGAAATGAAATTAAATTTAAATTATCAAAATATAATAAACTTTTGAATTATACTCCTTCTGTCTTATAATTTTTATTTTACTTTTTTTTTTCATCCGTCCCAAAATTATCTTATTTCCTTTTTAAAAGTGAATAATATTTACTATTTATTTTTATTTAATTTATATTTTTAACAATAAATATAATAATTAAATTCTTAGATTATTATTAATTAAATATTAATATAAATAAAATTAACTTAATCTTCCAATAAAATTTTATCTAATCAAATAGTTGAATTTAATATGTATTATTTAATAATTTTTATAGATACTAATATAAGAGTATATTAGGAAAAAATAAATAAAAATTTATAATTTAATCATATTAACTAAATTTTTTTAATCTACAAATCAAAATAGAACATAAATCATGGGACAGAGTAACAAATTAATGTTTTGTAACCATGATAAAAAATTTATATCTAAATTAAAAATCGGTTATTTTTAACTCTTTCTTGCAATGAAATTTCAAACTTCTATATATTTAACATAGTAACCAATTTTGTTTTGGTTTGTATTTGAAGTTTCGAAGGATAGAAGAAATCAAGAACAAAAGAAGTTTGAGTAGAGATAAATAGTGTGGAGAGAAAAAATATATTCATTTGTACTAAATAAATTTATGAGATTGACTTGGTTATAATCATTTTAAAAAAAATAATAATATTTCCTCCGTACTAAAATAATAATGACAAATGTTTTTCATGCAGTTTAAAAATAGTTAGTTAAATTAATTTAACTATTATTTCAAATTTTATTGTTTAATATATATCTTGAAAGACTCTAAAATTTATATATTAATATTTTATTAAAACTTTCAAAACATGATGAATAATTTAGTACCAAGATTTCAAAATTAAATATCTTAAGATTTTTTTTCTTCACTATCTAGTAAATTGAATTAATATTAATTATACACACAAATTATTATATAAGGGTAGTATGAAAAAGAGAAAAAAAAATTCTAAAATATAAATAGAACTATTATTTTGCGATACCAGAAAGAAAAGTGGGACTATAATTTTAAAATTGAGGGAATAATTTGTTCCTATATGATTGCCACATAAGTAAGAGGGAAATTTGACGGATTTTTTTTTTAGAATAAAGCTCAAATTGCCATCTAAATTTAGGCTCAACATTCAATTTGCTTAAAATTTAATTTTTTTTTATACAATTTGCCATTGAACTTGCACCAATAGAACAAAATCCCTTTTTTAAGAAAATTTTCTTTTTATGGTTTTAACTAATAAAAAATCACTTAAAAAATTTAAAATTAGAACAAAAAATATAATAATAATTATAACAATTTACAGTATTTGTTAAAAATAATTTAACAAATATTTCATTTAAAAAATTATAGAATAAGAAAAAGATTTTTCATATATTGAAATATTTGGTTAGGATATATTTATTATTTTGTTGTTTGATTATTTTTTTCAATTATATGTGATTCAGATCAAATATTTAATTATATTTTAAGATTTATATCAAATAATTTATTTTTTGGAATAAAAATTGCGCATTTTGTACTTTTCATATAAGTTCAAGGGGTAAATTGTAAAAAAAATTAATTTTTAAACAAATTATATGTTGTGTCTAAATCCAGAAGCAACTCAAACCTTATTTCTATTTTTTTTATCACTAACCAAATATCTTTTCCCACTCTCTTCCTTAAACCTCTTTCTTTCTAGTATTTTCTTCTCAACCTAACAAGTGAAAATAACTTTGATTTTTCAACTTATTGCAATTACACCTTGTGTTTAAGGTTTTAGCAAAATACACCATAAAATAAAACTTACCTCTTGTTTGGAATAAATAAATTTCATAAAGTTTTGTAAAAATTCATTAACAAATCAAAATTTTTATGTTTGATATGAAAAAAAAAAATGAAAAATCCAATTCTATGAATTTTTTTAAAGCCAATTCTGTGGATCTGAATATAATTAAACCAAATTTTATAAAAAAAATATGAAATTTCTAAATAAATTCCACAAATTTAAACAACCCAAAATTTTATGATAAAATTTTTTATCTTTCTAACATTCTAAAATTATTATTTTAAGGGCATTTTAAGAACAAAAGCAAATGAATTTTGAATTTATTCTAAATATAAAAAACTCATTTACAAATACATTTTGAATTCTTATGGTTAAAATAAAATGCAAACATGTCAAATTTAGAGTACTTTTGCATCTCAAAATTATTAATTATCTGTATTTTTTTCTCTCTCAATAATTTCAATAAGTTAAAAAAATAGTTGCAGAGAGACAATATCGAGATGATTTGCTTGCACAAGGATCAACATTAGAAACATTTTCCACATGTATTTGCATGAAACACAAGCCTTTACGCTATTGGCGAGAAAGAAGCAAACGAAAGCCTTTATGCCATTTGCATGAATACCAAATCCAAAATGGAAAACAGACTTGCTATTTTCTTCTCTTTCTCTTAGCCTGACTTGTCTCCTACACCAAAGCATGGGCTTGAATTTTCTCCAGCACTGGATTTGCTTCTTTAATCCACACTTATTATTCCATCAATGTCAGAAGCAAAAAATTATATATAAATTTCCATTACAATTCAAAGAAATTAATCAAGACCTTGCTATTACATGGACTTAAAATTCTAAATGATCGGATAGAATAGTCCTCGAGATGACAAAATTTTCTGTCAAATGTTACAACAATTTCTCAGCCCTTCTGACCGAGCAAACCGCTATCTTTCTTACCAAAATTTTTGCTTTCAATATTAAAACTACACCCAGAGAGCATTACATAAAAGAACGATTCCTAGTTTCCTACCAAAATTTCTAAAGCTTCATACTCGAGCAAATTCTCTACCAGAAATGCTAGTATCAGGAACTTCACAAGTGTTGCCGTTGTAACCAGTGATGTTCACAACAATTATATTGTCTGTGTAACCACAAAGGCTCTGTCGTGCTACGTATATGCAAGAATACTTACTGCATCTCTACGGGTATGTTTGATCACATTGGATATACTTGTAATTGACATCACTCTGCAGTTGCAATCCTCTTCTCCAATAATGATTCCAAAAATGCTGAACACAGTTTTGTAAGGGGTGGAAGGTTATGTGATGACCCACTAAATATGGTCTCCCATGGCCTCTCAGATGGTACAGATGGAGCCCATGAACTCTGGACTCTTTTTGGGTCAAACTCTGGAAGCTCACCATAGACAGATGTGTACCCAAATTTCCCTAACATAGAAAAGAGGATGAGAAAAATAACAAGCAGCAGAAAGAAATCGTACCCATAAAAACATAGGTTTCAAATGAAGGCATTTGCGCAGTTTTTTTTATGGTATTAAAAAAAAAAAAACAATAAAAAAATACCTTACCTCTCTCATCAAATTATGACTTGTAAAAACTAAATAAATTTGAGGATTAAGTTGAAATATGTGTAAGTTTAATTTAAACCCAAAATAAAATATGAATTCAAACCATAAAATTAACAAATAGTGTAAACTGAGATGCTCCGTTGACTAATTAAATCACTATAATAAAAAAAATATGATGAAAAACCAACATTCAGGAGACAAAATGATTGACTTGACACAACACGTATCATATTTAACAAAAAGATTGGCATATATAAATGAAAATAGATGATAAGGAACTTCAGAAGTAATGATTAACACAGATTAAGGACAAAATTAAGGAAAGTCACCTGCTTCTTCAAGGTCAGTAAAACCATCCCGTTTAATTTTGAGAAATTCATCGGCTTCTTTCCCATGTGGGTCAAAAAGAACATACTCATGATCACCATTTAAGTATGCAAGCAAGGATTTAGGTGGTTTCCCATCAAACATGTTTTCTGTAAAAGATTGATTCACATGAAGGAAAGCGAGAGCTCCTCCCTTGGCCTGCAAAACAGGATAGTAGATCAGAATAGTAAGTCATTTAATGCACAGATATTTAGCCCATGCAAAAGAACCAGATAATATGTAACCAACACATGGCAGTAAGAATTAGATTATCTCATACCATGCCACCAAGAACATATCTTTTAGGCATTATTTCATAATAATGAATCCTAAACCACAGGGGAATGTGCAGAACAGGAGGAAATTCTGCATATTGTTATCCCCCTTAAAATTCTGCACCAAGTGTTGTGTCTATTGGTATTATGAAATCTAACTTTTAATAACCACAGTTTTGAAATCCAGACCGAACAGGCTGGTTCAACCAGTTAACATACGAATAAGTCACATTTCCACTTCAGGTTTAGCATTTACCCAGGATTGGTCAAACCGATCTGTTGACCAAGAAACCAGCCAGGTTTTGACCATCAACCAGGAAACCCAGATGGGTTTGACATGTCTATCAGTTTGCTTTCTCAGCATGCAAAAATGAAATTTTAACCACAATTGTTTTACTAAGTCTTCTAATAGAGACCAGTGAGACTATCACCTCCAAACTACAATGATTTTGTTGTAAAATTATTTTTCATGTTTTATATGTTATCATTTTTCTCAAATAAAATATTCACTTCAATTTATAAAAATACTTTTACTCAACCTTCTTACACACTTTTATTTTATTTTTTTTAATTACAGTTTGGAGTGAACTGTAGTTTATTTAAGTTAACTTATGATCTTTAATAAATTTTACCAATTTAAAATTATTTTATGTGATGTTTTAATTTAATTATGGTTGAACCCTTGTTCGACTTGGGTTCAACCGATGACCTTTAACCCTCTGCCTTCTGCAGTTCAAAGACACAGATGCATCTTAGACCTTGTTATTAACCCAGTAAATGAGAGTCAATACAAAGCTTTATGGACAACTCTATTGAATAAAGCATACCGCTCTAACCAAAATAATTAAACAAACAAAAAAACTACGTAAAATACCAAAACAAAATATGCAAAAAACTCAAATTGTTAATTCATCATCAAGTTTTACATGAATCAAAGCAAAAGTAGAACTACTGGAGGCACCAGATGAATTAGATTCAATAATGCATGTGGCTAGGACTGGGACAGATTTTTACCTTATTCACCAACCAGGTAGAAATCGGAACAGGATCTGCTGCATTAAAAAGTAAAATCACTCCATCCCTTCCTCTAAAAGTTCTTTCATTAGATTTGTCGTATTTAGATGATTTAGGAAGAAGGACAAGAGCAGCGAAAGAAGATAAGTCTGTCTCAGTGGCTACAACTGCACCAATTCCTACACGGCATTAGGTCAAAAACATGAAAGAATAACAAATGTTGAATTAGACCATAGTTTTATAATTATTTCCAGAAGCAAAACCCCTTATGCATCACTCACCAGAAAACGTTAAAAATCTAATTCAATAAACCTGATAGCATTTTGCATAAAAACATTGGGGTATTCTGCAAATACGTTTCAAAGACTAACACTCGTCATAAAGCTAGCAATTAGACAATGTTCCTTACCCTCCTAAATATTCATCATCATATCAATATATATATATATATATAATCTTAGACAATGTGTGAAAGAATCCAGTAAAAATAATAATAGTATACTTTTTTTTGGCACTTCATTTTTAGATGTATCAAGTGAAGCTGAATAAAACATTTGGAGCTCAAATATTTTTATCTTCCATGTTAAATGGTTGTTGAATTAGTCTTGCCTTCATCGTCCTAATAACTCAGAATAATTAAAACCTTTATGTAGTCTATAGATTATGACTATTTTTCCTGAAAATAAGAAGTTTGATGTGAAACAAATTTTTGTTTTACAAATTCTGGAAAATTTTAAATAAGATCAGATACATGGGAGGAGCTAGGAATACGCTTTCTATGAGTAATTAGAATTTTGTATTTCTAGAAAAACCATGTAAATTTGAGGAACTTCTTAGTTTTTGGATTTTTAATTTGTTAGTCTCATTATAGCTATACTCAGAAATCAAAAGGTGGTTATAAAATGGAAGATTAAAAGGTCTATTGGTATTGGAATTCAACATGTACTTAAGTTAGTGTTACATATGTTTGATCAAATGCAATTTTATAGTTTGATTTTTGATAACCTTCTCCAGACATAGCTAAATAGTAGAATATAATCTTCACATTCTGTGAATTTGCTATATAAGAAAGCTAATAGCCACAAATTATATCAACTAGTTCAATAAGCGAAATATGTGAATTGAGTATATACGTTTATTATAACTATATTCATAATTATGCCACGCAGAACAATGGTACACAAGTAGTTCTGATGATTGAAGCGTCTCTCCTACTTTCAGACAAATACCATAAAATTTCAGATTAAATTTCTCAAAAGTCAAAAGTGGCTGAAAATTTGAGCAGTAACCATGAGATTAGCAGTATTCTAGGAAGTAAAAAAAACATCACAAGGTAGCAATTTCAAGAAAATAATTCATCCTAAAAAAAAAAGAGATCTTCACCTTCTACATGAAGCCCGTATGACCAAGATATAGAAAGCTTTGACATGCTCCAAACAGAAAGTTGCGGCTTTGAACCCCATGATACAGAAACAAGATACTCGGACTTCCCTACAAACGAGAGGGTCACAATTGGCTGCAAGAAGTTCCATAAAGCATAGTTAAAACAGTATCTACCATAAACGCAAGATGGAGAGACGGAAGAGATTTATCAATGCAGCATGGTAAAAAGCCATAGCATGTGAAATCCAAGAAATTTTACGTTTCATCGTTTGACAGAAAACAAAATTAATGGAATTGAAAGGTATTTTGGAATAAAATTAAGTGGTTTAAATTCCATCATTAAATGGTGGAATTGAGGTCGGAATTTATCAATTCTATGGATTGTGATCTATTTATTCTCAACCAACCAAAGGAATCTATCAAATCCATGAAATTTTTAAATTCCATCGATTCAAATGACTACGAAGGCTATATCTTGTTTTGTCTTAGCAGTTTATTATTATTATTTATTTACCAATAAAAGTTCCTTGCTTAATAGTAAGAGAGAGTTGAAATTTTTAATGCTACCAACTAAAAATTTTTAAAAACATGCCCCTAATTGTTTCAATGGTTATGATTGAGCAGGCATCAAAATGGACAGTTATTTTTGAATAGTAGTAACTCCTACCAGCACCACAAGTGAAAACTGAAACCTAAACATAGGAGGAAGTTACCATTATTTAAGAGACAAAATAGCAAAAAACTCCACGCCATGTCCTTCAATATTGTGAAAGACCATTACAAACAATTAAGCTAGGGAAAATTCCAATGTATCTCCCGATTGAACAAAATTAGAATAGTTTTCATGCATCAATGCAGATCTGTCGTGCATGAACATATTTGATGTATGTGTGGTTGTTTGGTGCACAGTGCATGTCAGACAACAATTGTCAAATGTCAAAGAATCACCATGAGAGTCTCCCCAATTACTGCCACAAGAACATTCTTGTCAGGGTCCCATAATGTAATCACAGTTTCAGCAGCAACAGCAAGAACAGAACCATCATGAGAAAATGCAGCAGCTGTCATTGGCTTTTTCCTGTGAGTAAAGAAATCCAAATGTGAAAAAAAGGGAAAAAAAGATACTAGGACAGCCAAGTTGTGTCCCCTAGCATAAATTTCATGATTATAATAGATAAGCCAAACAACAAAGAAAAGAGAAAATAAGTATAGCCACCGAAAGAAAAAGGATAAGGAACAGAGAAATGAAGGTGTGACTTCAGGATATGCTGAAATGCAATGATTTCAAATTCTCCCAGTGTTATCAGAATCTTACAATTCACAACAGGAATCGTGCGATTCGATTCAATTTTCATACTAAACGATTCGAATTTTATGGGTGAATTGGAATTGACCATGAATCTTACGGTTCGAATTGATTCTCATGTCCAATCATTATCTTACCCAACAAAACAAGTGGAAAAAATCAATATAGAGAAAGAAAAGCAAGAGAATATAGCTATGTTAGAAGATCAAGATAATAATTTGAAAATGATAATGAATGAATATGGATTTGGATAGGAAATTTAATGGCTTGACAGTTACTTTGTTTTAATTTTAAATTTTAACTTCATAGTTTGATATTTTGAGCTTGACAACTACACAAGTCATTAGGTTCTTTTTCATTTTGTGCTTAGTACATGAGGAATTGAAATTTATTTAAATACATTATTTCAATTAAATTTTTAGTATATTTTGATAAAATTAAAGGAAATATATCCATAACTATATATACACTTAATTTTGAAAAGTTTTTACTGAATCTTATGATTCGATTCGATTCTCGATTCTCAATTCTAAAAATAAAAATTTCGATTCTCGATTTGACAACTTGGGTTCTCCTATACAGTGCGCGAGTCATTTTTGTGGCAGTCCTATTTACTTATCCAATTCATGGGGCGACAACATAGTTCAAATCTCAATCTATAGTAGCAACTTGAGTTACAAAACTTCCAAGAGTTTTCCTTCCTTTTCAATACATGCTTAAGGACTAGACGGTCAATTTATTCTGAACTAGAGAATACAAATTTTGTGCTATCCTAGAGAAAGATACGTTTTGCCATTAATATACTCAGCAGAAGATGGTATACATTTAGAGTTAGGTTTTTTGAGAGCAGATTGAGTTGGAGATGAATATAATTAAATACAGAAAGTTCAGATGAATATATGGAGTGAGCAAAGATCAATTGAGTGAAAGAATATTTTCTCCTATTGATTAAGAGATCCAAATTAGATGGGGACTGAATATGCAAAACAAAATATTCAAGATTATGTAATTAATTACTCCTATTAACTCAAAAGAATAGACGTATAAGAGAGATAGTGAGAGAGCAGTGTAAGATTTAGAAGAATGAAAATTGAGGGAATGAGTCTTCTTTTGGGAATTTTATTATTAAATGGTCTTGGATTAATTTAAACTAGTTACTAGTTAGTCAGTCAAGTACTGGAAAAGGCAGTCCGACAGAATTCCATGATTCATTAGCCACCCCATGGACTGTTAGCTGACTTACGTCTGATGTCAGCAAAAATTTGGATAGCAAACAGTAATGCTCAGATTTTATGAATGACTAGAAACTAACCCATTATTTGAGGAGTTATAAATACCATACTCTAGTTCATCTTTTGACAAATTTACATTGCACCCTATAATGTAAAGTTTCTCACAATAATGTAAAGTTTCTCACAACTGTGTAAAGGCAGTTCAGAAAATAAAAAAGGAACAATTAAATCCTCAGAAAACTGAAATCATACTTGTACGAGGCCACAGCATGGCAAGTCCATCTAGAATTGGTAAGCACTTGATCTTTCTGCTGAATACCATTGTTGCAAACCCAAATCTGCAACATTGGAAAGGAAATATAAATTTTGTTGGTAGCATATTACAAAAAAATTCCACTGTTTTACGTCTACCTTAAAGTCCCCGCCATATGAAGAGCTCACAGCCATGCAACGGGTGGGATGAAATGCAATTGAAGAAATGCCAGCATCCCTGTGAAATAAGCACTAATAAGTATTTGTTACTTCTGTGCAATGCATGTACAGGCAATATACTTGTGTCAACATATTACATTTAGAAAAATAGATATTGAACCAACACAGATACTTCACTAGACGGCATGACCTTTTCCAACACCCAAAATGAGCTGATTTTTCTTAGGGTGTCTCACAGTTTGCTTATCCAATCTGTGAACATCTCTTCTAAACTAAATCCAAGTGACAGATATAATAATTTGCTGGACTGAAATTAAATCAGTAAAACTAGTTATTTGATTCTTCTGATTCAAGTTAGCAGATTTTTCAGTTTATTCCTGTTTCCAATCCAAAACAATAAACTATTGCTAGATCTACTCTATCCACAACAATCAAATACCTTAAACATCCCTAATTTGCATAACCAAAAAGCCACTATGCAAAAAATAAGGAGACAAACCCCAATGCAAAAACCTATCATCTAATCTAAAAAATTGTAACCATAAAGAAAAAGGACAAATACAAATAGCTGAAGGCTAAGAAAATTGTCGATCTGAATGCCAGTAAACCTGCAAAATTGAGGAAAACAGATAATAAAGATGAGGCAGAATAGAAAAAGAGAAATCCTGTGGGTGAAATGACAGAAAAGATGCATCAGTTAGAGAATCTGGAAATAAGGAATAGAAGAGAGAAGAAAGAAAAGAAATAAATACATGTGTGGATTTTTTAAACAGTGTGAGCAAGAAAAGGGTCAGGATGAGGAAAAAGAGTGAATATGGAAGGTAAAATTTATGAGAGAGAGAGAAGAGGACAGAAAAAAGATAGGTAAGAAGGAGAAATTACTGTTTCTAGAAAATGGAATATAACAGAAGTTAGTGAAGTGGGCAGAGCCGCATTATGTGCAAGGAACAGTGGAAAATTGAGTAAATGGTAAAATCTCAAAAGAACATTGAAGACATCAGGCTTCGCCAAACTGTCAAAAACAAGGCCAATATCGCTATTTTAATAGAAACTCCACCTCATATGAGTATATAATATTAACAATTGATTCCATAAACAAAGAAACACATGAAATAACCAAATGCTGGAGGTAAAAATCAGTAAAACCAAACAATAATGTGCAGGTAAATATTTCCTTCTAGTTTTCCATTGCCAAAGAAAAGTGTGTTGGCCCATAGGGCAAGAACAGCATCCTCGAAAACCTTCCATAAATTTCTCTCATTTTCTCAACAAGTAGGCTAGGGCCAAACCTGTGGGGTTCATAAACAATGGTGGACAAGCTGAATGTCTTGTTATCTGATCCCAATGCCCAAAACTTAAGACAAACAAGTCCACCTAAGCCCTCCTCAGCAAGCTTCACTTCAGCAGTACTCATCATAGAGCCATCCAACGAAAGAGCAACTAAAGTCACAACTACCTATGGAAAACAATATTCAATTTATTAATTTTGTTTATCACAATAACAAAATAAATTCAAATTAAATGTATGAAAAGCAAGTTACTAGAGATAACAGTGCGAATTTAAATGACCATCGAGGTATCATCTCAATAAAAAGAAATAGCAAAGGAGCAACTATATTACCGTGACTTCATCACCAGGTTGATGGTTTCTTTCACAAACTTGAACCTGTTGGAGGCACATTTAGGAAGTTCAAATCCAACTCAACCAATTAATAGTCATAAAAATTGCAGGCAAATGTTTATGCCCCAACAAAATAGTGTATAAGCTGCACATTGACAGGATTGAGGTACATATCATGTCCAACAAAAATCAACAATAGAAAATTAAAACTTTCAGCTGGAAAAGAAATGAAACAACTAACTAAAGTTTCAAGGTTTCTTAAATAATAGTATGTTGTACATAAATATATACACACACATCAAGCACAAAAAAGAAACTGCCTATATCAGGAAAAACAAACAAGAGAATACTTTTTATCAAGCTCATTAAATGAAACTCAATAAAAATCAAATAAAAACCCATGTTGAAATCTTGACCTCAGAAATTCCACGGTTGTCAAACAGGCTATATAGCTGGATGCAATAGTTCTCCGCACGTAAGGCCACTAAGCCAGCATTGTGATCAAAGGCAACCCCACCACATAAATCCTTGTGTATCTCTTGAAATGAACAAGGAAGCTGAAATAAAGCACAAGAACTTCTTAATGGATTATTATTATTTCCCACAAAATGGCAATAAATTGAAATACATGAATGAAACTGTTAGAAAATGAACTTGCTATGTAGAACAGTGTTTTGTTTACACAGTATTTGATTGATTCTAGTAAATAGGAAGATACTTATCCTGAACATGCCACACTAAAGGTTAAAAATAAATCTTTTGTTCTACTTTTTAGGCTAGACTTAATGCAATCAAGATTACAGATAATCAAGGAAATAAAAGAATAAGATAGAAATTCCTGCATGAATAGGCTTGCATACCAAAACTAGCAATAGAATTACACAGGCAAACCTTTGCACCCTTGTCCATGAGAGATATTTGAGACATGCACTTCATTTTAAACAAGGGTTTCATTTTGGATGCAACAAACAAGTCATGAAATGTAGTTGATGATAAGACTCGAGCAAATCAATACTGCTTGTATTTGATCAAGGAGCTTTTTTGAAATTTATTGAATTCTCTTATTCTCCTAAGAAAATAAGGACAGTTCCTTGTTAAACTACAGTAAAAGTCACTCCTGAGTGGTTTGCTTTAGTTGTCAATATTCTGTGATGCTAAAGAGTTCACTGTTCATTGCATGCAACAATTAGAACCTTCAAATATATGTTTTTTGCTCTTTTCAAATTAGGCTATTTAACTTGCCCATATTTTGAAATTCCAGATTAATTTGCAAATTGCAACATTTAACACTATTTTCACTATTAGCAGCCTAGCTTAAATCTTGTTGTTTATTACCAAAAATAAGCTAATCCTTTTTCTTATATCTCATTTGATGATCTACATCCCAGAGAAAATGATATGCATCAAACCAAAAAAAGTACTGCAACCTAACAAGTTAGCATATCAATTAAATGCACTTGAATCCTACTTCATAGGAAACAACTCCATAGGAAAATTTTCAAGAAACAAGTTCCAAAAGTATATCATAAGGAAACAAGTGAGACCTTATTATGTCTCTCTCTACCACTCCCTTACTTCATTATCCTCTCTTTTTCACTCCCACTTTTTTACTGACCCCTGTACCATCAAGTCTTATCTTGATTATTTGAAATAAAAGTTTCTCCATAACTTTCCAACTAAGAAGATTAAAAAGACTTTCCAATTAAGAAGATTATAAAGCTCACTACTTATTTTCATGGCATGCACAACTAAACAGCTAATCAGATATAATCAAGCCAGCAAAGTCTGCAAACAGATAAAACTAACCTTGATCCCCGAAATGGACTTTAAAATTTCCATGGAAGGCATTTTCAATATATGAATTTGATTATCTGCACAAGATATCTAAGGAGCATAGTTTTAGGAAAGCTAATAAAACAAACTAATTTTTATAATTCTTTATCCTTGTAAAATGTGAATGAATTCCACTTACTGACGAAAGAGAAGGATCTGGAGAATCTGTGTAATATAGGAGTGGAGATCCAATTCGTGGCAAAAATTTCTTCTTCCCTGTGTCTAGTTGCCAAACCACAAGAACTCCTTCCTTTCCACCTAGACACCAATCACATTGTACATGAATAAACAATCCAGAGGATCAGGCCATTAAGAAGAATAACCAAAAAGGCCATGTCAATTATGTTCAGATATCGTCGATGGCTATATGATAATGAAGCACTTTCAATTGTTGCAATTTGCAATTGCAACACAAAACAAAATTAAACTATTTGCTAAAGTGGATCACTTTTATCCCAAAATTCATGTATATGACTAGCAACATCTACCAGAAGCAAAGTTTATTACGCATGAACATTAAGGAAAACATGACAAGGTGCTCTTCAAGAGTTAATTTACTACATGATATACCATATAACCCACCAATCAACTCCAATAATATCTGATAACAGGTCCATCCATTTTCCTCATTCAAGTTAAGCTACATGTATGACAGGCAAAAGAAGGTCTTACCCACATATCTGTATACTTTTTGTTACCTGAGTACAAATACGCTCCATCAGAAGAGAAATAGAGGAAGTTTACTTCAGCAGAGTGCCAATGCCATGTCGTGCAAGACTCAGCATCATCATCACCCCTCACTCCAGGTCTTTCTTCCTCATTATTCATTGATCTTTCACTCACTAGTCCATTGCCTGCAGAAAATATTCTATTTCCATAACCCCTCCAAATCAAAATTCTTCCTGTCACATCCCCTGCAGCAACAATTCTCTGAGTCGGGTGGAATGCCAGAACTGTCATTTTTTTTGTATGATGCAGTGTGATCTTTCTAGCCGCAGCACGCTCATGATCTGCACTAGGCACCTTCCATATGCTAAGCCGGCGCTTGCTACAGATTCCAAAATATTTTCCAGTGCAGCTAATAGTTATGGGTAGAGGTTTCTTTGTCTGTCAAAAATAACAAATAAAACATCACAAACCTAACATATACAGATGTAAAGCATCTTAGAAAATCGATCAGTCTACTGGTTAACAAACATTCTTTTTTTTAGAAAAAAAATCTTTAGTTGACAATATCCAAAAGAAGTACACAAAAAAATTGATGAAATCAGCAAGCATTTCTATTAACATAACCATCAAATAACCTAAAATGAATTCCTAAATTTAAATTAATGTCTCTTACTTTCAAATTTCAAACAGCTTAAGTGTTTATGATGACAAAAACTTGATGTATAATGAAATAATAACTAGAGTTTGAGTTCAATTATTTGAGTTTTCACCTCTGCCAAAATCATTCCAGCAGCCAGACGAGAGTCAGTCAAGTTAAATTTGATGACTTGTCCACGTAAACCTTTTGAGAACATTTCTGGTGCTTTAGTTTTTTCAGTAGACAAATAAGCAAAAACTTTAGGTGGCTTTTCATTGCTCTCAGCTGGTTGGCCTAATATTGATGGAATCACCTGAAAATAAGTTTAAAAATTTAAAAAAATAAAAAATAAAATAAAATAAAAAATTAGTGTTGCATTAAAATGTACAAGAAAAGAAAAGATACAAACATATATGTGTGTGTATATACATATGCTATTATGTCAATCCCACTGTTTGAAACAAAGACGCTGTAAATTTATACTGATATGAATTAACACACCCAGTTCCTCAAATACAACCAAAATTCCAAAATTTAACCACCAACCAATATCTAAAATCACAATGTTTATCTAAGCAAGCAGTTAGAACTAAAAATCAGCTAATGTTGACACTAAGTGCAAACTAAATTCAGTTTAAAAGAAATACCATGGAGAAAATAGGGAACTTAATATCGATAGTCTTGATCAATTCCGGCACCGAAAAATCCCAATACCGAATAGTCCCATCAAGCGAAGCCGTCCAACAATAGCACAATATCTTGCTCGCCTGAGTCGTAGCTGGCACCACAATCACTGCCGTCACCAGAGCTGTATGTCCTTCCAGAGATGTTACCTATGAAAAATGCATATGTTGAATTAATAAATAAAGGGCTTAGCTCTTTTTTTTTTTTTTTTTTTCAGCATAAGAGCTTAGTTTAAAGAACAAACTTTGTAATGCAATATAACACTGTTAAATAGGGGAAAAAAAATACCTGTAAGCCAGTGGCAGCGCTGAAGATGGAGACGGAGTTTCCAGAGCAAACGAGGAGTCGCTTTGCATCATTGGAGAAGGCTGGCGGAGAAGAGACGTAACTTCTACCGCCCCGTATCATGCTTATTGGATTTTCAGGTTCAAATTACTGAAAAGAGAGCGATATTCAGTTTCAAATGCGTTGGAGCTGTCGTCTTCGGATGAAAAACGGTCGTCTGCGGCGAGTTGAGAGCAGTCGCTGCGCAGCGTGAAGCGAAACTCGACAGACAGTTGAAAGCAGCAGAGAACGCAAGAGCCTTCAAGGGACGAAGAGGAGGCGACGGACTGAAACTAGAATTTCCCTAGGTCAAAAACGACGTAGGTTCAACTAAATAACAGTCGCTGAATAATCTATAATCTGCAATCCATAATGTATAAATTACATTATCATTATTTATATTCTATTTTATTCTTATATATCATATTATAATATATAATTAGTTTTTATAACGTATGTCGCATGTTGTCGTTACTGGTTTATTATTTCTATGACGTAATTATTGATTATAATGTTTGTTTTATATTATTTAGATTTTTATAATATTAAAATAAAATGTGATTTCATGATTTCATCAAATAGCTAGTCAATAACACAGTTATCTATATATATTTTTTGAGATAAATGTTCCTTTCAAAAAAAATATATTGAGATTAATGCGAATATTTTTGAATTTTTTATATAATATTAGTTTATCTATCTATATTTACCCTTAATGAAATAAGAGAAAATAATGAGATTACCTATATTACCCTTAATGAAATTTAAAATATTTTAAAATGCTCTTAATGGTAGCCAATTAAAAAATTACAATTTATTAGTTGATTAGATATAATTTATAAAAATTATTTTTTAAGCCAATTATGTACAATCAGATTGTCTTTCTACTTATGTGAGGATTGACAAGTCTTGAGTTCTAGTCCTCTCGACTATAAGTGTTTCACTAATTTAATTATTGTGTATCTATTTCGCCCCATAAGGCCTCCTAATAAATCAAAAATAATTATTTTTAAATAAATACAGATAAATAATTAAGGACTTCAAAATTTAAAGTTTTATCTTTACTAAATTTATTTTTTAATGGACATATATAATAATGAGATATTTGAAAATTTTTTTATTTTATTTATTAAATATTTAAATCTTTTATAAAATATATAAAAAGAAAGAATTTTTTTTTGTGTTTATATGATTTGATTGGGTTTAAAAAAAAAACATAAATTTTCAAATAAAATATGTATAATATAATATTTTACTTAGGAGAGATAGAAAAGAAGAAAAAAGTATATCATTTTTATTAATGTTTTTGTTATTTATGTTTGTAAGATTTGATTGGGTATATTTTTCAAAAAGTGAATTTTCAAATAGAATTTACATAATTAAATCGTGATGGTAAACAATTGAAAGTTTTAATTTAAAAAAAATATTTTATTGATATATTTATATAAAAATATAAATTGAAATATATATTTTGTTAGGTGAATTACTAATTTGATTGTTGTGTAACTTGCAATATTATTTACGCCCATTAAGCTTCTTAATGAATCGAAAAAAATAATTTAAAATATATTTTCTATTGATACGGTATTATATTATTAAAAATATAAATGAGAATATATATTTGTTAACGTGATATTACTAATTTTTTGATTGTTGTTAACTGCTAGATTATTATTTACGCCCATTAAGCCTTCTTAATGCATCCGAAAAAAATAATTTAAAATAACTATATATTATATATACTATATATATAAGATATCCATATATATATAATTAAGCTATTTCAAAAAATTTTAAGTTTTATATTTATTTAAATTTAATATTATTTAATCGAACTATACCATGATAAAATCCCGGACACTTAAACAATTTATCTTTATATTTATTTATTAAATATTTAATTATTGTAAAATATAGATAAAAAAGAAGAAAATACAATTTCTTTATTAAAGATTGTTTTTTCTTTATGTTCGTATGATATGATTAGATATATTTTTTAAAAAAATAAATTTTCAAAATAAGAAGAATAATATATATAATATATTAGGAGAGAATAAATAAAAAGAACCAAAAAAATATTTATTTTCTATAAATATTCGTTATTCCTTTATGTTTGTCATAATGTTGATTAAGATATTTATTATAAAAGTAATATTTTAAATTAGTCATTCTGTGTATATGAATCTAACACTAGTGGGTGTGGTAAACAATTCGACAAATTTAATTAAAAAAAATAGTTATATTGATTAATGTATATAATACATTGAACAAGTTTTTTTTTAGAAAAAAAAATATTATTTTTATTAATATTCTTATTCTTTATGTTTGTCATATTTGATTAGATATTTATTAAAAAGTAATATTTTAAATAGAATTTATATAATTAAACATGAGTTGGTAAACAATCGAAATTTTAATTAAAAAAATATATATTGATATATATATATATACATTGAAAAGTTTTTTTTTTTTGTTAGGTGAATTTTGAAATATTTTTATTCTTACTAATAATTTTTGATTTTCTTTTTCGTTATTGAATAATTTTTAACTACTATCATTTTAATTTACTAAGAGATTTATATCTCTATTGCAATAAATAGATGGTCCACTAATGGTTAAGCATTTTTAATCTTTTTGATATTTTTTTCTTTTATATTGTAAATCTGTTTGACTTAAAAGAAAATAATATTTAGGAAACTGGAAAAAAAAAATTAGAATTACATATTTCTATTTTGACCACTTTTTGGGGTTTCGAGAATTTGTATTAACATATACTGCTTTTTCTGAAACACTGGGTAAGTAATACCGCTACTGTATTCAAAGTGATTTTCATTATCAATTCAGATCATCTTATCATTTTTTTTCTTTGTACCTAGCAGGAAAAATAATTTATTATTATTCTTCATTATAGTTGTATATACGTATTGATTTAAGATTTAGGGTAGGGGTTGGAGATTGAATTATGACTTGATTTTCTTTTTTAGCACCTATTAGGATTTTAAAAATCAGCATTTATAAATTATGAATTAAAGGATTAAGTTAAAGATTAAGTTGAACTTTATTTTAAAATCACTTCATTATATAAAAATAGAATTAAGTACATAATAAATAGCATTGCAAGTAGTTTGTATGCAAAATATAAACAAATTAACCACTTGTATTTATTTTTAATCTAAACAAAACTTATGATTTAATATTATATAGATAAAAAATGACGAGCATATTCAATATACAATGCACGTCATTTAAAATACTAGTTATAATAAATACACATAATGAAAATAATAGAAAATAGATAAAAAAGTTTATATTTAAAATATTAAGTAAAATAAGTATAACTAAACAGATTTTAGTCTTGATTAAACCCTAAAATATAAAGATAAATCGTAAGAAAACTTAAATCATAAATATAAATATAAAATGTAAAAAAGAACTTAAAATCCTTCTATTTTTTAATTAAATCTTAAAATTTATTAATTAAAGTAAAAATAAAAAAAATAATTATAAGAAATAAATTTGTTTTAATGTTTTAATTGAAAGCGCAGGAAATAGAGGAAATAAACAACATCAAGACAAGAAAAATGCTAAAAAATTATAAAAATTAAATCTTAGTATATATAAAAATAAAAAATTCTTAAACAATCATGAGATATAACTCTCTACTTTTTTCTTATACATTAGAGGTCCAATGAACCGGAATAATTTTATGGGCTACACGGCAAGGGACATTCCGAAAACTAAATAGACCACACCTAATTGGCAACGCTCTAGCGTTTTAGCTTCAATATATATTCAACAATATCATAATTATTATCTATATATAACATTTAAAAATTACTTACAAAGAGTGTTTGAATTGATGGAATGTAAAATTCATAGATTTTATCATATCACTTTGATTTATTTTCTTAATATAATATGCTTGTGTAAGAATGTATTCATTTTCTTTTCTAATCACTTTAATTTATCATATCACATCAATACATATTAGATCCAAATACAAGCAAGTCATCAACATATAAAGTAACTAAAACTTTAATTATTAATGCATTTAAAGAAAACACAAATTAAAATTTACGTGCCTTTTGTTTTTCTCTTTCATAATATAACCTGCATATTATTAAATATAATATTCTTGATTTCATTTATCTTATGAACTTTTTTCTTTAAACATAAGCTTTTGTGATCGACAATCTCTCTCTATATATAGTTTTAACACGCGGTGATGCAGGTATATATCCAGACTACATGCTTTATTCATTTAGTTGCCTTTCATTATTACTAAACGAAGGAAAAGTTCATTATCTAGGATTTGATTCTTTTTTTGAGATATGAAAAATGTCATTGTAAAGCTAGGGTGTAATAATCTTTTTCAATTTAGTTCAATTTACATTATATAGAAGTGTATGTGATAGAGTCATAGTGGTTTTGGTATTTAATAAATCACTGTTTCTTTGTATTTATCATGATTCATTTGCCTTTTCATATTATGCTCTTTTATCCTTTCTTTTAAACTCTTCTATTTTTCTTTTTTTTTTCCTTAAATTTTTCGTTTAGTGAAATTATATTTGTCTAATTCATTTTTGTTTTTTTCCATTCAAGTAGTTATCAGTTTTATAAATATTAAGACATTGTAGGCAAAATAATTTTGATATTTTTGTTTTAATTGATTTGTTTTTAGTGTCTATTTGTAATTTTAATCTTGAAATTCATTTTTTATTCATTTTCTTTCAATTTTCTTTCATTTTAATTTAAGTCACATGGCATAATTATTTAAAGCACCGTGTTACATATGTTAAATTAACCTAAAATATTAATAGAATCAATTTTAATTTTTCTTTCATTTTTCTATGTTTTATAGAATTAATATTTAATAATAATAAGTCAATTATATTTTAATATTAAATATAGAATCAATTTAATTTTTTTCTTTTCATTTTTTCTATGTTTTATAGAATTAATATTTAATAATAACTAAGTCAATTATAATATTAATAGAATCAATTTTAATTTTTCTTTCATTTTTCTATGTTTTATAGAATTAATATTTAATAATAATAAGTCAATTATATTTTAATATTAAATTATAAATAATATTTATGTATATTTTATTCATATTAAATTATTTATAAAAAACTTTATCTGTATAGAATTATCAATTATATGATATGGTATTTAAATTGTTTAAATTATAAATTTTAACTAAAACTTAGACATGCTTAATTAAATATATAATTATTTAAATAAATTTAATAGAGTAATCTGTTGGAAAACATCTTTTAATAGTATAATAAATAAATTTATAAAATACAATGTACAATAATAAAGTAGCGCAAAGCGTGGGCATTCAATTAATT